TCCTCCTCCTCCGCATCACCCCTCCCTCCTGCCTCATCCTCCCGCGTGGTCCCTCTATATCGCCAGCTCAGGCCGTCCTGAGCTTCTTGGCTGGCCGCGGCTGCAGCCGCGGCCACGGCTTCACCGCCAGGAAGTCGCCCGCGGACAGGGCGCAAGTGTTATGCATCTGGGGCACCCCCACCTGCACCTTGTTGACGCCTGTCCCGAACGTCACGGTCTCCTTTCGGAGCTCCATGTTGGGCTCTGAGTCGGACTTTGCCACCACCCAGAAGGGGCTGACAAAGGCGTCGGGGCCCCGCGACCCCTCAGCGGGGGGCCCTGCGAACTGCGGGCCCACGAAGAACTCGTAGAGGCCAACCTTCCCCAACGAGATGCTCTCCGCAACGCAGCCCGTGCTGACCCGCGTGGACGAGGCTGAAATGCGACCACTCCCACCGCGTGGAGCTACATGGCGCGCAGTCGGTAACATCACTGACCTCGTCGCTACGGCCTGACGTGCCCCGAAATCCTCGCTACCTCGTGCTCAGCGCAGCGCTGCAGCGCGGCGTCGTCGGAGGGGGGCGCGGACGATTGCGGAAGCACAAGTCTGACGAGCTCACCCACTTTGAACGCTCGCTTGCAGCGCGCGGCAGGTGGGTCCTGCAGGATCTCCAAGTGCAAAATGTTCGCCTGGTACTTCAGCGCTTGGAGCCGCAGCGCCATGTTGCATGCCCCCTTGAACGCGTCCATCGCCCAACCCTCGTGGGCTGGCGGCAAGTGCTCCTTCGTGAACGGCAACTGCTCCTGCACCCTGGACGTCAACTTGTAATTCTCGAGCAATATGTTTACTTCAATCCGCCCGCTCGGCTAACTGCTCCGTGCGCTGCAGCGCATCGACCAACCCATTGCAACTTAAGTACAGGAAATACAATATCGCAGTTACTACCTCCTCCTCCCCCCTCCCTGCTCCCCACGGGCGGCGGGGTGGCTGCAGCCACGCAATGGAGATCTCTTCGCCCACCAGGTCGCCGTGCAACTTCTTCTGAGCGGTGATCCCATTCTCCGAGATGGAGAGCACCTCGAAGACGTCATCCACCTCCTTCTTCTGGACGATGTGCTTCCCCACGTCGAACCCTGCACGCCGCATGCGGAAGACGTTGCTCTTCAACTCAGCGGCCGACGACGCTGCCGCGCGCGGCGCGTCTGCATCGGCGCTCGCTGGGAACTCGGGTGCGCCATCGCCTTGCTTGTCGGTCTGCACCGCCTTGCCGAACTCGATCCCCAAGCTCTTCATCTGCAGCTGGGCTGGCTCCCCGAGCTCATGGAGGAAGACCTCTCTGGAGGGTCGCTGCAGCGACATTGAATGGCGAAAAGCAGGGAGGGAGGGAAACAAGGAGCACACGAAAGGTGGCGTGAGAAGATACCTGTGCTATATCTGCTACGCATCCGAAAGCGCGGTCTCCTGGCGCTCGCTTCTTCACCAGGTACATGGCACAGCGGACATCCAACTTTGTGATGTGCAAGAAGCCCTGCTCCGCTCCGATATCCAACCTCTTCACGAGCGACCTTGCGTCGGCCATGAGGTTGTCGGCCGCAGCCACGTCCGCCTTGCGGGACGCGACGTGGACGATCTCGTTTGCCTTGATCCGCCCATCGCTTCAGCGATTGCGTTTGGGAATAAAGCAATGTAACGGTGCGTGTGTGTGTGTGGGGAGGGGGGAGGGGTGGGTACGCAGTTCTAACAATGCAGCGCAATGCATAGATGCGCTGCAGCGCATGTCACTACAAGGGGGCGCCGACAAGCTTATGGATGGTCCTGCACATGCTATCCACCACGTGCTCGCCTGAATAGTTGGCCTTCACGAGCGCCGCTACGACATACGGGTACGACTCCTGGTGCTTCCCCCATTTAATCGAATTCAACTTGCGCCAGAATTCAGAGCCGCACATCAAAGTTTGCCCCGAGACGTCCACATTCGTGAAGGTCTTGAGGGCTTCATCTATTTCACGGAGAAGTTCTCCGTTTTGTGGCCCGAGCTCAACAAACTTGCACAAGTCAGCGATCCACGCCTTGCAAGGTGGGTTCGCGTGGCCCGCTTGCTCGGCGATGTCGCGCCAATCGGGCTTGCTGGAACCCTCAGCGAGGCTGTGTGCCAAGAGCATCCGCCCACCTGCCTGCAGCAAGCGCCGAGCCGATCAAGTGCTGCAGCACGGTAAGATATAATGCTCCTGCTCCTCGTTCTCACCTCCTCCCCAACGCGCTCCCACTCATCACCCTCCTCGTGCATCATCCTGGTCCTTACTACATACCGCTATATACTATAGTGGGGATAGGCTGCAGCCTGACCGAATGATCTCGGTCTCGTGAACCGCCTCCCTGACGTCGGCGTTCAAAGCCCTCTGCACGAAGTTCTTGAGGCCCTTCACTTTGGCCACCGCGTGCTTGATGATCAACCACGTCAGGCCCTTTTTGACTGCCGTCGCAAGTTGCGGATGCAACGCGCGCAGCTTTTTCCGGAGTCGATGTTGTCCCGAGAGTCTGCCAGCGCCTTCACTGTGGTCGGCGCCTTGGCCAGCACGCAGCGGAGGAAGACGTTCGCGTGGGAGCCGCCCACTGACGTATACCGCAATGAGTCCAGCGGGGGGCACCGACCCCCGCTGAGCCGCGAAAGGCGGTCGTTCGCCATCGCGGTCTCTTCCAACTGCGCCCCCTGGGCGCAAATCTTCGCGCCTAAATTGTGAGCCCGCGCAGGGTTCACTAACGAACCGCTGCGGTTCCGAATGTCGATGCCCATCTGGTTCGGTGGGACCTGCTGGTAATACGCTAGCCCCTCCGCCAGCAGGAACTCCTTCAGTTGATCCCACCCCGATGCCAACCTCCCCGAGGAATTGCTTTCCTCGATGTACTGCAAGATCTGCTCCTCCTGGCGCGCCTGCAGCGCCATGCCAGCGCTATATATAGCGCCGAATGCAACGTGCGAGCCCGCGGGCGCGACGGCGGATGCGGCGCGCGGCCGCAGCTTGAGACAAGCTGTCGCGCGGCGTGCGCGTGAACATCGACTTGCATGGACATGCAACTTGCGAGCCAAAATGTTGATCTGGGCTGCAGCCCGAGGCCCATGAAGCACGAGCGCGCACGCGCTGCAGCGCGATGCGACATCACGACGACAACCATTTTTTTGCGCTGCAGCGCAAAGTAACATACGTGCTATCAAATCTGGAGCGCTGCAGCGCTCAATGCGACCATTGAAAAAAACAACGAATACAACAAAACATAATTGACATGTGCATTCAAATTCCTTGCAAACGGAGCTGGGCGAAAATGAAGATCCGAACAACGCGCAATTAGAAAACATGCATTTAACTCAACATTCAGCGCTGCAGCGCTTCATATTCAGCGCACGCAGCGCTTCATGTTCATATAAATCCGAAGGCAGCGCTGCAGCGCTTCTCATATTTAAAGCAAAAATCCAGGACACCGACTCCAAATCAAAATGCAAAATTTGTAGCGCTGCAGCGCTCAACGAACAAACTCAGCTCTTTCAAGACGTGGATTTACCTTTTTTTCCCTGTGCATGGCCCTTGGATAACAAGTGCAATGTAACCGCTAAGTCACTTATAACCTACTTAGCAAACTAGCTATAAGCGGTTATAAGTGGTTAGCTAAGTGCGCTAAGCACTTAGCTAACTGGTTATAAGTGGATAGCTAAGTACTTACTAAGTCATTACTAAGTGGGCCACTTAGTAATGACTGAGTAAGTACTTAGCTAAGTCCGCTAACTACTTACTAAGTATTTAACTTAGCGTAGTAAGTATGTTAAGTACTTAGCAACCGCCGCGGCCATCCAAGTAGGGGGACATTCCCGACCTAGTCCAGGGGTCGGTCCCCCACCGATGACCGTGGTCCATAGGGCCCACCGCACCCATTTTGGCACACCCCTCACACGCTTTGTGGCCCCATAGAGAGCTCCACCACAGGCCCAGATGCCAGCGCTTGCATGCGCCCACCGTGCCCATTTTGGCACACCCATCACACGCTTTGTGGCCCCATAGGGAGCTCCACCTAAGGTCCGCATTGCAGCGCTCGCATACGCCCACCGTTCCAATTTTGCGACACCTCTTGATCGTTTCTAGGCTCCGTAGGGAGCCCCGTCGAAGGCCCAGATGCCCGCGCTCGCATGCGCCCACCGCACCCATTTTGGCACACCCCTCACGCGTTTTGTGGCCCAAACGGGAGCTCCACCACGGGCCCAGATGCCAGCGCTCGCATGCGCCCACCGCACCCATTTTTTGCACACCTCTCACACGTTTGGTGGCCCCATAGGGGCATCCGCCGAAAGCACACAAGGCAGCGCTCGTATGCGCCCACCGCACCCATTTTGCCACACCTCTCACATGCTTCGTCGCCCCATAGGGAACTCCATCGAAGGCCCAGATGCCCGCGCTCGCATGCGCCCACTGCACCCATTCTGGCACACCCTTCACGCACTTCGTGGCCCCAACGGGAGCTCCACCGAATGCGGCGCATACAGCGGCAGTGCCCACAACTGCATATGGTTGGGTCTTTTGCCAGGCTAATTTTCACGGCGCAAGGGCTCGTGGGGGTTTGGGACTTTCGATGGGTTGCTTCCCTCATCAGATCAGGCCCGAGGTAATGAGCCAGTCATGCCGTGCGAAGGCCATTCTGATGCTCGTTTGGGGACCTTCCTCGGCCCCACCTGACGGATCTGTTCGACTCTAGATCGACCCCAGTTCGACTCAAGTGGGACTCCAAGTTCGATTCAACTTCGACTCAGATTCGACACAGGATCGACTCAGGGTCGACTCAAATCGACGGACAGTCGACACAGCTTCGACGCACGAGTGGAGCGAGTGTCTCCGGGAAGGTTCCCAGAATGAGCATCCAAGACCCTCCATGCCTCGGGAAGGCGTGCGTGCGTGTGATTACGCCAGGATGGCGGCCCCTGCTGGGCATGGTGGTGGTGGGGCGTAGGTGCCTTTGCGCATCCCTCGCGCCCGAGGTGATGAACCAGCGGCGCCTGAATTGGCTCGCGGGGCAGCGGGGCGGCGCGAACCTGTACGGCGCCCAGGCCAGCGGCGTGCGGCCGCCAGGCATGTGAGGAGCCCCGACTGGCGGCATCTTCTGGCTTCGCTTCAGAGCGGCCCGTCGCCGGAGTGACGCTCGGTGCGGGCACACCCGACGTCTTCGTTGGTGTTTTAGAGGTCTTTTGTGCTGTCTGGCAGCTGCGCCTCGTCGAGAGCGTTCGCGGCTCCGCGAGGGTTCGAAGCGTCCCGGACGGCCGCCGGGCGCCCCAGCTATGACCCGGAAGCCACCAGGGTTTGGGTGACCCGGACCCCGTGGGTGCAGGCCCCCAGGGACACCCCATCACTCCAAGCCTCCTAGATGGGGTTGGAGGATTGCGCCGCATGCGCGAGCCCGATTTTCACCACGCCGACGGCGCCAATGCATCGCCGACATCGCCGGTGCATCGCCAATGCATCGCCGATGCATCGGCGATGCGGCGCGGTCCTCCGACCCCATCTCCTCCGACCCCATCTGGGAGGCCTCTAATCACTGGCTTGCGCGCCTGGACTTGTTGGTCCCCCGCGCCCCCCCGGAGGCCGCCCACCACCAGAGGTCATGCCAGTCCAGGGCCACAAACTCTGGCGCGCAGCCGAGAAGTGTGGGAGGAGGGCCCAGAGGTCCAGTGCTTGCGCTGGTTTCGCACCGAGAGGTTCCGCCAGGTTCGCGGTCCCCGGGCCCCTGTCGTGTCGGTGGCAATCGGGGGGAGCTGCACAGAAGTGGCGTCGAGGGCGTCGACCATGCCTCTTCACGCTGCTTCAGCTGATTCGCGTCGCCAGAATTCAGAGGAGGAGGTCAATCGCCATCTGCTCGCACCTTCTCGTCGGCAGAGGCCATGCAGCTGCCTGAGATGAGCTGGAAAGAAAGGGGCGAGGAGGCAGGAATCCAAGACCGTAAACCGTTGCGTAAAATCATGATGCTTATTCGTAACTCGGCCTCCAGGCACAATCTTCGGGTCCCTGAGACAAGCAGAAAAAACTGCCCGCGACGAGAATTCGGCCCCAGGCATGGGGTCGAGAGGTCCGGGTCCACGCTGCTACGATAGCACGGCTTCGAAAGTCTGGAGAGGGGGAGGGGGAGGCGCTGCGTTTTCGATTCCCCGGTTCGATGCAGGGTTGATTTGCGAGGTTTTTAGAGCAGCCGAAACTATTTTCACCCAGTAAACTACGAGAAGCTTCATCTGCAAGTTTCCTGACATTGCAAACGAACGAAAGAAGGAGGAGGAGGAGGAGGAGGAGGAGGAGAAGGGCTCTGGAGGGCCTCTTGGGGCCAGGACCGTGAGATCTCCTCGATGTCCTGGCCCTCCTGATCTTCTTCGTCTTCTTCTTCTTCTTCCTCTTCCTCTTGAGAAGGAATGGAGGAGGCGGAGGAGGAAGAAGAGGAGGAGGAGGAGGAGTAGGAGGAGGAGGAGGAATGGAGGAGGATGAGGAGCTGGAGGAGGATGAGGAGGAGGAGGAGGAGCTGGAGGAGGAGGCCCCCCTCTCTCTGGCCCACCCGCTCGGGCGGACGCGCCCCGCTGCAGCGGCCGCGCTCCCCGCGGTGCCCCCCGCGTGCGAGGAGGGTGCTGCCGCAGGCGCGCGGGCCTGAGGCCCGCGCGCGCGCGGGGCGCGGGGCCATCGCCGGCCTCCTGGAGAGGCGGGCCGCCCCGGGCGTCGAGCACGGGGGGGTGCGATGGGTGTAGGCGGCGAGCGAGGGGGGGAAATCCAGGAGCGGAGGAAGGACGTACAAGTGTACGTGAATCCGCGCTGGTTTCGAGAGTTTTCGAAGCGCGAAGGCTCGTATCGCGCGGCTGGTCTCGCGGATCGAAGGGCCGTGTTCATGTACATGGTTGGGCGCGTACGTCCGTTGTGGGTTTACCCAGAAATGAGAAGGGGCGGGCCATCTCTCAGAAGGCTCGGAAGTCTCCCGGCCTTCCGAGAAGTGTTCCAGGCCTGCCCCGAAGAGGCAGGGAATTTGTCAGAGGGCGCGAGGGCTTCTGAGGAGTCCCACCGCCTTCCGAGAAGGCCTTCTCCTTCTCACCTCCCTCCCTCGCTCGCCGCCTCAAGTTGGGCGGCGCGGGGAAGACAGGGGCACCTCTTCAGGAGGGGGCCCTAAATGGGGCCCAACAGGGGCCCGACAGGGGCACGAGAGGTGTAATTTTTGTTCTCGCCCCCCCCCCATTCTTGAGTCGGGCATGTCCCTCTACAGGCGGAACATCCAAAATTATCCTGGCAAAGCAAACTAACAGCGATGTGTAGGAGCATATCTGGAAGCAGTTGTAGAATTCTGCTGTTCTCGCGGTCGTAGTCGCATTCGCGATGACAGTCGCAGTGGCAACGGCAGTCGCAGTCACAGCCTCAGCCTCAGCCTGCCTCAGCCTCAGCCTCAGCCTGCCTCAGCCTCAGCCTGCCTCAGCCTCAGCCTCAGCCTGCTTCAGCCTCAGCCTCAGTCTGCCTTCAGCCTCGGCCTCAGCCTCAGCCTGCCTCAGCCTCAGCCTGCATCAGCCTCAGCCTCAGCCTCAGCCTGCCTCAGCATCAGCCTGCCTCAGCCTCAGCCTCAGCCTGCCTCAGCCTCAGCCTCAGCCTGCTTCAGCCTCAGTCTGCCTTCAGCCTCGGCCTCAGCCTCAGCCTGCCTCAGCCTCAGCCTGCTCAGCCTCAGCCTCAGCCTCAGCCTCAGCCTCAGCCTGCCTCAGCATCAGCCTGCCTCAGCCTCAGCCTCAGCCTCAGCCTCAGCCTCAGCCTGCTTCAGCCTCAGCCTCAGTCTGCCTTCAGCCTCGGCCTCAGCCTCAGCCTGCCTCAGCCTCAGCCTGCATCAGCCTCAGCCTCAGCCTCAGCCTGCCTCAGCATCAGCCCTCAGCCTCAGCCTCAGCCTCAGCCTGCCTCAGCCTCAGCCTCAGCCTGCTTCAGCCTCAGCCTCAGTCTGCCTCCAGCCTCGGCCTCAGCCTCAGCCTGCCTCAGCCTCAGCCTGCCTCAGCCTCAGCCTCAGCCTCAGCCTGCCTCCTCAGCCTCAGCCTCAGCCTCGGCCTCAGCCTCAGCCGGCCTCAGCCTCAGCCCTCAGCCTCAGCCTCAGCCTTCAGCCTCAGCCTCAGCCTCAGCCTGCCTCAGCCTCAGCATCAGCCTGCCTCAGCCTCAGCCTCAGCCTCAGCCTCAGCCTGCTTCAGCCTCAGCCTCAAGCCTCAGCCTCAGCCTCAGCCAGCCTCAGCCTCAGCCTCAGCCTCTCCTGCCTCAGCCTCAGCTCAGCCTGCTGCTCAGCCTAGCAGCTCATGCCTCAGCCTCAGTCTGCCAGCCTCGGCCTCAGCCTCATCAGCCTCCTGCCTCAGCATTCAAAATGTGGCCCGGGAATGGAGTTCTGGGAACTCGAAGACCACGAAGTGGCCTACAGTTGGCTCCGGGCATTCAAAATCATGCCCAGGAATGGAGTTCTGGGAATTCGAAGACCACGAAGTGTGTAACTGTTTGCTTAAAAGGACTTCCGCGGCGTCTCCCCGGCACCCGCCCAGACCCCCCTGGGGAGTCAAGATGCTCTCTTTTGACACTTCAGTCTTCGCTGTTAGGTAAATAGTTAAAAATAGTCTGGGGACGATTTCTCTGTGATTTTTTGTACTATTTGGGGTTATTGTTTGACTATTGTTTGGTTTTCCGTTCGAATCCGCCTGCAGGAGGACACGCCCGACCTAACCCCATTCCCAGAGCCCCGACGTCATGATTTTTCACACGACGGCGACCCCCAGAGGTCTCGACCCCTTCCTCGCGTGACCAGCCCCGCGGGGCCCGGCAGGGGCCAAACAGTGAACAACCTCCCGTCGTGATTGCATCATGCCTCCAGGGGGTCTGGGCCCTGGAAACGACAGGGCAGTTTTTTTACCGGTTCCGTTTTGCTGTTTTTTTGCCAGTTCCAACGCCGTTTTTTACCGGTTCCGTCGCCGTTTTTTGACCGGTTCCGGCTCCGGTTCCAATCCTGGAGCCGTTCTTTTGCCGTTTCTGGTCGCCGTTTTTTTGCCGTTTTTATGTTTAAGGGACACTTTTTCGGAAACGGTGCAAAAACGGCCCTGCCGTTTCCGGGACCCACTAAGGTCTGGGTTGATCGCCCCCCAGGCTTCAACGCCCGAGGCCTGGCGCGCGCGCGCGCTGGGCGCGTGGGGCCCGCGCCGGCCTCCCGAGGGGGGGGCCGCCCGAGACCGGCGCCGGGCGGCGCGATCGGCGCGCGGGTGGCCGCTGGCGGCGCCGGCGGCGCGGAAAAACGGAAGCATTCGATGCTCGTTTTGGGGGCCTTCCTCGGGGCCACCTGAGGGATCTGTTCGACTCCGGTTCGACTCCGGTTCGACTCAGGTTCGACTCAGGTTCGACTCAGATTCGACTCAGGTTCGACTCAGGTTCGACTCAGATTCGACTCAGGTTCGACTCCGGTTCGACTCAGGTTCGACTCAGACTCGACTCATGTTCGACTCAGGTTCGACGCAGCTTCGACGCAGCTCCGACGCTCGAGTGGAGCGAGTGGCTCCAGGAAGGTCCCGAGAATGATCAGCTAAGAAGCAGAGGCTCGTCGCGGGGTCGTTTCGTCGTTCACCGTTTTGCCGATCGGCGCGGGTCCACCAGACCCTCCTCGCGCCCTGAAAAAAAAAGTCCCGGCGGGAGGTTTTCCTCGCCATCTCCAGCCTGTGGGGGCCCCTACCGGGCTTCGGGACCGCCAGTAGGGGAACAAGAAGTGGCACAAACATAAAAACTCAGAGGTCCGCGTCGAAGCCCCCAGGGGGACCGCCAACATGCGTCCCCCACATGCAATTTTGCATTTTCGCCCACCCAGTGCAGCGCTTCGTGGCCCCATAGGGAGCTCCACCGAAGCCCCCAGTGGGACCGCCCGCATGCGTCCCCCACGCCCAGGTTGGCATTTTCGCCCACCCAGTACAGCGCTTCGTGGCCCCATAAGGAGCTCCACCGAAGCCCCCAGTGGGACCGCCCGCATGCGCCCCCCACACCCAGGTTGGCATTGTCACCCACCCAGTGCAGCGCTTCGTGGCCCCATAAGGAGCTCCACCGAAGCCCCCAGTGAGACCGCCCG